AACCATATGATACTGAAAAATACATAAAATCAATAAATAATAATGAATTCAAACCGATCACCAACATTTACTTAGGACCTAATCATTGGCGCCCCATCATTGGTGTCAGTGGGAGGAATAGTGCCTCATTATTGGTGTCAGTGGGAGGAATAGCGTCCCATCATTGGTGTCAGTGGGAGGAATAGTGTCCCATCATTGGTGTCAGTGGGAGGAATAGCGTCCCAACATTGGTGTCAGTGGGAGGAATAGCGTCCCAACATTGGTGTCAGTGGGAGGAATAGCGCCCCATCATTGGTATCAGTGGGAGGAATAGCGCCCCATCATTGGTGTCAGTGGGAGGAATAGCGCCCCAACATTGGTGTCAGTGGGAGGAATAGTGTCCCAACATTGGTGTCAGTGGGAGGAATAGTGTCCCAACATTGGTGTCAGTGGGAGGAATAGTGTCCCAACATTGGTGTCAGTGGGAGGAATAGTACCCTGTCAGTGGGGAGAGGAATAGTGCCCCATCGTTGGTGTCAGTGGGAGGAATAGTGCCCCATCGTTGGTGTCAGTGGGAGGAATAACGCCCCATCATTAGTATCAGTGACACCAATGATGCGGCACTATTCCTCCCACTGACACCAATGACACTTGCTGACCCCTGTTGCAGTATGGTGCTGCTGCAGCCAGCATATGTGGTTGCAGCAGCACCTCTGCACTGCACACTTACCGGCTTTTCCCTCACTTGATTTTCGCGGGTCCACTCGGCTCCGCCTCCTTGCCCGTGATTGGCCGCCTGTGTACCTTTCCTGAGCTACAGTTCTGGCGACCAATCACCGGTGAGGAGGCGGAGCCGAGCGACAGGAGTGAGGGAGTGGCCGGAGTGACGGAAGGAGCAGCGCTTCCTGGATGGATCATCGTGAGAGCCAGGTAAGAGACAGCAGCCCTCTGCCCACCCCTGTACTTAGTGCCCCCCTAAAAAGTTCCACCCTAACGTATACCGGCGTATAAGACGACCCCCGACTTTTGAGATTTTCAAGGGTCAAAAAGTCGTCTTATACGCCGGAAAATACGGTATGTTCCCCCGAAATCAAACGCGCCCCCCTTGACGCCCCTGAGGGGCGCGCCCCACTAAGCACTGCACTAGTGGAATATTAGTATAGGGTACAACACAGTCCAGGGCACATATATACATAGGGTCACGAACAATGTTAGGTAGTCCTGGACTGTGCTGTACCCTATACCAATACTCCACTAGTGTACAGTAGCGACTGAAGCAGTCCTTGAGGCAGAGACCAGGTTGGCCAGGACAGGAGGAACCAATAAAAGCAGGTGTCATGCCTAATTCCATGGCCACAACAGACATTTTTTCGGGGTGACTTTTGGGCAGTGGTACAAGGAACGGCATCAGGAAAATGCCGCTCAAGCAGTCGGCTCACTGCATCTGGGTTGGGGGTTTGGGCCACTGCACCTTCTGGATATAAAACGGCCGTTATGATCTCTTCCTGAAATTTTAGGAAGGATCCACTTCTTTCAGTTGCTTTGTAAAGTACCAGCATCTGGCTTTACGAAAAACTAAGTACAGCTTCATCATCTGGTCACTCAACTCCGCCCCTTCCATGTTACGGTTATGATCGTAGACACAGAGGGGTTTCTCAAAACCGTAGAAATTTGGATGGTCGTGTCTGTTTGAATGGAAGACAGGATGAAAACATCCCGTTCATCCTTCCGCCTCACTAGAAGCAATTAATCATTTTTCAAGCAAGCTTTCAGACCCTTTCCAAGACAGGTACTTACAAGCCGCTGGGGGAAGCCCCGGCGATTAGGTCACACTGTGCCACATGTGCCAATTCCAAGATTGTACAAATGTCTTAACAGTGGCACACTTGTATAAAAATTGTCCACGTATAAGTGGTACCCATATGGAAAAAGGTTGACACCAAGTCCCACACTATCTTGCCACTGGTCACCCATGTAGTCTGGGCATCCGGGGGGCTCCACGGATAATTCCAGAAATTACATGTATAGCCTGCTGCTCTCTCACAGGTCTTATACATTTTGACTCCATATCTGGTACACTTGCTAGGGAGAAATTGAATGCAAGGCGGCCAGAAAAATTAACAAGGGACTCGTCAACACACGTTTTGCTGGGAAGTAAACACATCTGCAAATCGTTGGTTAAGGTGATTTATGAGGGGCCAAATTTTGCGGAGCTGGTCAAATTCATGGTCACCCCGAGGACGACATAAAATTACATTATATTCTCATATCTATACCTGGCCATGGCAACAGAGAACACAGGTATATGATAAATCGGGTCTTTGGACCAATACAACCGCAATTTTTTTTTCTTGTAATGCTCATGTTAAGGGTTAGACCCCAAAAAAACTTTAAATTTGGAAACCGTAATAGGTTTCCATGCAATTGTTCTGGCAAAGTTTGAATTCGGGTTGGCGGCGATAAATTGTGGGTATAAATTGCATTGATCCACAATCAATCCAAACAGATCTTCCATGAAAAACAGCTCCAAAATAATCAAGGGGAGTAGTTACATTTGCTGTTTCCACCTGAATTCCGGGTTGAGCAGTGAATGGAGGAAGTGCTGCAAAATTTGTGGGCTGCCAATCAGAATTTGCAAGCACATCCGGAAGGACACTATGGGCTCTACGGGTTTGTGTTCGAATTCTTGATGGCCGTGGGACACCATTTGTGCTAGCCACCCCACCAGTTTATGGGACTCACCCCTTCACCAAGTGATACTGCAGTGCTGGTATGAAAAAGACCAGGATGTACTAGGCCCTGGTGTTCGCCAGTTCATCAAAAGGTAGAGCGGCATTAGTACTGGTACTCTGCTGCGTATGAGAAACATCATGCAAATGTAACATCTCAACAACCTGGGAACGGGGTCTGGTACGCCTGACCTTAACACGGGCCTCTACTCCATCGGTCTGAGCTGTCAGGGTGCCACTGCTGTCTACAGGTTCGTATTCTGAGCCTGATTATGTCAGTGAGGCTTCCCCTTCACTCTCATCTAACATGTAGGCCTCTTCTCTAGAGTACCTTTTCATTGTACATTTCGGTCACTAAATTTATAGGTACCTAGGGACTGCTCGAACCGCTACAAAAAAAAAAAAATTACCTGCAAGTGCTAGCAGAGATCAGGCCTGATCTTGCTAACCCTGCAGTTTTGCGTGCAATGTATCAAAACTAACTAAAATATTTTAAGCCTCCATAGTTGCCATCTTTTGTGTAGTTGGCCAGTTTGGATGCAGGGACGCACTGGATGTCTTTGCTGTCATTTTGGTATAGCTGGGCATCGCATGCATCCCTGTACCTTTAAGGAGGGGTGGGTTCCTCCAGGCACTGCCCTGCATTGATACATGTGCTAACGATGGAGATTTTGGAAATTTTAGTTCGGTCCATAGTACACAGAGGACCCTTGACATGGGACTGTGGCTTACGCTTGTATTTGCAAAAGTGTGCAAGCAAAACACTCTGTTTTTAACGCGCCAAATTGGTTATATTGCAGGCTGGCTACTAAGTTTTGTCCTTCCATGTGCACCTTACTGGTTATAGGTTGGGACGGTTGCCATTTTATGTATAGTTGTATCATTTCCTGTAAACAGAAGCACAAGAAGATCTGTGATAGGGCAGTGATTACTCAGCCTATCCAGGCAGAACATCACTGGCCTGAATCTGCTGACTAATCAGTGATGCACCAGATCACAGCACCGCCAGGTGCGTGCGCCCTCTACCCGCAAAACAGCAGGAGCACGGATCACATTTATATATGTGATTTTGCGCAGAAAGTCTGCCCTGTAGCAGTAAACCTGGTATAGAGTGGAGCTTAACTGGTTAAAGGGCTCTATTTCCTCATTATACTTCCCGACTACCTATTACAGTTTCAGAGGCCCTGAAATTCCAGAATAGTATAACCCCCCCCCAAAGACCCCTTTTTGAAAAGTAGACACCCCAAGGAATTTTATAACAGGAACGGTGAGTATTTAGCAGATCTCGTTAGTTGTCAGGTTTTTGGTAAAGAAAACAAATACTGCAAAATAGGTTTCTTATTAAATTTCTAGTGGTTTCTACTCATCAAAATGAAATCAGTTGGGGGGAGGAGTGTGCTATCCTGGCATTTCAGGGCCTCCAAAACCGTGATAGGTAGTGAGGAAGAGAAATGAGGAAATTGTGCACTTTCAGGCTTTCAAGGGGCGTGCAATCCAATTAATATACACTTTTTTTTTCTTTTTACCAAAGACGTAGCAAAATACATTTTGGCCTAAATTTATAACAAAATTTGAGTTTATTGGATATTTTTTTAAACAGAATTGAGAAAATATTGTTTATTTCAATATTTTCGCCCTTTATTTCGAGCGCAAAAAAATAAAAAACCCAAATACTACCAAAAGAAAGCTCTATTTGTGTGAAAAAAGGACATAAATTTAGTTTGGGTATATTGCATGGCTAAATAGCAAAAAATGGCCTGGTGAGGAAGGGGGGTAAATCTTCCAGTGGTCAAGTAGTTAAAATTAGGTACATCATGGCCAACGTTACACGCACGCCTAGCAAAAATAAGTTTCATAATAGGCTCTACAAACTGTGTTTTCATATTTAATAATATTATTCATAGTGCACAAAGGCATGGATAAAGCTAATTAGTGTACCTAAAAAAAGGCTCTAAAATTATCAGAGAAGGAAATAATTCAACTGCAGTTTTGTCAATAACGTTGCAAGAGTAAAATGTCCAAAAATCTATTAACTTGTTATCCTGTTATACCAAATCGCAGATTAAAAAAAAAAAAAAAAAAAAAGGATTCGTAGAGCATTTAGACAGAACGTCTCCAACCAGCCACATCATACTCTTTGTGTTATACTCCCAGCACCACAAACTACTGCAGTAACAGGAAAGTATATATACAGTCAAATGTTGCAATGACTCCATCTGTTCCTCTATTATTTGCTCCTGGTCCCAATTTGCTGGGGATGCAACATAGAGATGAGTTGACGGGAGCACCATTTCACTTTATAAACAGTACATAAAAGGCCATAGCAAAACAGGACAGAGAGACAGCCAGGTGTAGACGAGAACCGATGACTGCAGCTAGAAAACAAAAGACAAAAGACAGGTAACAATGGGTTATTTTCAAATTCATGCATGAATATTCTAACAGTATTTTTACATCTGAAAACTAACAAAAGTGTCATCCTGTCAGTTCCTGATAAGAAATTTGCAATAAAAGAAATATGCTCACATCAACTGAAAAAAACAGAGCTAGGTACCGGACTGTTAGGTTAGGCAATGGCTTTAATACGTTTTACACCCACAGTTGATCCAGAGGAAGGCAAAAAAAAAAAAAAAACCCCAAAGCAAAGCATGAATTCCTTCCTGATCCCTCGAGAGGCAATCGGATATTTCTTGGATCAACTTTATCTATAAATGTTATTATCCAGTTATTTTCTGTGTATACAAGAAAGAATCCAGACCTTTTTTAAAGCAATCCACTGAACTGGCCAGAACCAACTCTTGAGGGAGTCTACTCCACATTTCTTACTGTGAAGAAACCTTTCCGTGTTTAGAGATTCAATTTCTTTTCCTCCAGACGTAAAGAGTGCCCCTTGTCCTCTGTGATGACCTCAGGGTGAATAACTCTACACTGAGTTCACTATATTAACCACTGATGTATTTATACATGTTGATCATATCCCCCCTTAATCTCCTCTTCTCAAGATAGAATAAATTCAGTTCCTCTAATCTTTCCTCATAGCTGAGGTCCTCCATGCCTCTTATCAGTTTGGTTGCTCTTCTCTATACTTTTTACAGTTCTCCAATGTTCTTTTTGTGAATTGGGGCCTAAAACTGAATTGCATATTCAAGATGAGGTCTTACTAATGATTTGTACAGGGGTAAAATAATATCTCTTTCTCTGGAGTCTATACCTCTTTTAATACAAGAGAGGATTTTGCTCGCTTTAGAAACCGCAGCTTGGCATTGCATGCCATTATTAAGCTTGTGATCTACCAGAACCTTCTCCTCCATCGATTCCCCCAGTTGTACTCCCCCTAGTATGTATGATGCATGCATATTCTTAGCCCCCAAGTGCATAACCTTACATTTATCAACATTAAACCTCATTTGCCACATAGTTGCCTAATTAAACAAACAGTGCATTGAGGTCGGCTTGTAAATTGAAGACATCCTGTAAGGACGTTATTCCACTGCACAGCTTGGAGTCATCTGCAAAGACTGAAATGGTATTTTTAATCCCAGACCCTATTTAGTTTATAAATATATTAAAAAGTAAGCGTCCCAACACTGAACCTTGGGGTACACCACTGACAACCCTAGACCATTCAGAGTATGAATCAGTCTATATATCTCTTTTTTTTTTATATTTATATCTATCTATGCTGACTTAAATCCATAGCCAAAACGGGTTTGTTTTGGACAATGTAGAGAAGGGTTAAAGACGCCTACACTGCTTTTTTTGCTGTCCATTTACCATAGGGGACATATTCCTTCGCTTCCTGTTCTACAGATGCAAGAGGAAATGACTGAAAACAGGGGGAATCACCCTGTAAGGCAATCGTCCCCTTTGAAAGATTTGGATTTCTCTCAGAACAAGTAACCAGGATAAATAGGAGTGTATCACCCTAATGGAAACCAAAATAAAAACATTAATCGCTTTCCCGCTGCCCTATAGAAGATATACTGCTACAGGGCAGTAGGGGTGCGCAAAATCGTGTATATACACACACGTGATTTTGCATTTCCGGGTAAGGGGCACGTGCCCTACCCACACCGCTATTCGTGCCCTTGGCTGTCAATCACCGGGTCCCGCCCAGTGATTACTCGCTGACACCCGGTGATCGAAGAGCATTACCGATGGAGGGAGAGAACTGTATGTAAACAATACAGTTCTCTCCCCTGTCAGCTCCTGCACAATCCTTTTCATGGCTCTGCATAGCAGAACAATGCAAAGCAGTGTGCTTACAGTGTAAAGCACTAACACAGCCCACAGTAAAACAGCACACAGTTAACCCTTTGATCGCCCCACATTAACCCTTTCCTGCCCAGTGCCATTAGTACAGTGTCAGTGTTTTTTATTAGCACTGATCACTGTATTGATGTCACTGGGGATATCAGTGACACCAAGTCGGTTCCCACCAGTGTCAGAATGTCTGTCACAGTCCTGCTATAAGTCGCTGATCGCCGCCATTACTTGTAAAAATTAATGGAAAAAAAAAAAAAAAATCCCAGTATATATATACCACCATTTGTAAACCCTATAAATTTCACGTAAACCAATTAATTTACATGCATTGGGATTTTTTTTGGCAAAGGTGTAGCAGACATTTTGGCCTAAATTTATGACGAAATAGAAAAAAGTCAAAACCAGTTTTTTTTTTCCTTAAAATTGTCGGACTTTTTTTTTTATAGCGCAAAACATATACACCACACAGGCGATCAAATACCACCAAAAGAAAGCTCTATTCGTGGAAAAAAAAAAGATGTAAATTTGATTTGGGTGCAGGGTTGCATGACCATGCAATTGTCAGTTAAAGTAACGCAGCGCCGTAATGAAAAAAATGGCTGGGTCAGGAAGGGGGGTAAATCCTCTGGAAGGCAAGTGGTTAAATTGCACCTCAAACCAAAACATTCTTAGTTTTAGATACAGTGGAGAAGGGCAAGGACCTCTGTTCAAGTGATCAAATGTTTTATTGTTGAGTCCGAATGGGAAAGAAAACTCCTTTTTTTTGTATGATCACCATGATTGTAATTTAGAGTACATTTAAATTATGGTTAGGAAAGGAGTATGGAGGGTATTAAAGCAGACATAAAATGCAGGAGAGTATTACTTAAGATAAAACAGTGAGCAATACATGTAGGAGTGCACAGAGTATGACTGTATCTAAGAGGAATATGGAGGGTCAAAAATAGAGAAAAGGTGCAGGAGAGCATTGCAAATGTAAGCCATTGGGAGGTATATGCAGGAGAGGAGTGTGGAAGTTATGATTGCAGCCAGTTTGTGTATGAGAGGAGTGCCGAAGGTATGAATGTTGACCCAGTGTTTAGGAAAGATGACAGAGAAAGCAATTCATGTATATGCTGTACACAGTATGTAAGGCATAGGATGAAAGGAGTTGAAAAAGAGTAGGATAAAAGGTTATTATACAGAATTTATATAGCGCCTACAGTTTGCTCAGCGCTTTACAATATAAATGTTATGGTTATGATTTTTGTTTTCTTTTGCCGTGGTAAAATCTAACACGTGTCTGAACCTGTCTGATCTATCCTGCTAGGGAGCGTTCAAAGTTTCCAATCATAGGTGGTAGAGGAGCAGCCTCATGCATACACACCCCTTTGATGGCTGCTGTTGGCTTCCTGCGAGCTGAGGAAATGGCAACCAAAATAAGACAAACTTGTGCGTAAGGAGAGACAATGGAATCTCAAAGAAAAGACAAAAAACGAAGTCATGGTACCGGAGGAGACAAGGGGCAATTACACAGGTGGAACAAACCCTGTGACACTTTGCACAAATCCTTTTACCCAGGAGTCAGACATGATAGGATAGAAACAGAATGACTAAGGCCGACATCTGTCTCTTGATGCTACTTAAAGCCAAAGACCTTTCCAAAGCAGACTGAAGAAAAGGCCAAAATGCATCCTATGATACACTGTCAGGTGAAAAGCTTTCCATGTACAACGGTACTTTCCTGGAGCTGGACTTTTTAGTCTTGGGGATAATGATGATTACAGAGTCAGAAATCCCCTATCCCTCAGGACTTAGGCTTCAACACCCAAGCCAGTGGCTGTAATGCAGGATGGAAGAACTGACCCTGCAAAAGCAATCTGCCCTGTCATAAATCTCATGCAAATAAGCCACTCAAACACTGGAATGCCCTCCACCCTTATCCTGTACAAAAGGTGAAGATAAAGCTGCAGTGAGAGATAAGGCACATATTTGGGAAAATGGATTCCAAGGAATCAACAGGGCACCTACAACAAATGCCTGAGGTTCCCTACTTTGGGACACAAATATTCAGTTTGTTTTATCTGGACACCAAGAAGTCCACATCTGGAGACCCCCATCTCAGACACATCTCTGCAAACACCACCTGGGTGAAGGGCCCAATCTCCTGGATTCAACTGACCAGAGCTGAGAAAGTCCACAGCCAAAAAAAATCTACCCATGCACAGCAAAGAGAGCTGAAACATGCAGTACTACCCAGGACAAAATCAGGTCTGCTTCTTTCCTGAGCAGCACAACTTCTAGTCCCTTCTTGAGAGTTGACAGAAAATGCCACTGTAAGGATTGTGCACAACTGGGACATGGAACCTGTGACAGCCATTTTTGCTTTTCATGAGCTTCTTCCTCTCCTCCTCCCTTCTGAAAACTGGAATTTGTAGCTGTAACTTAAACTTCATCTTAATTAAAACACAAATAGACCCAGCGTTCAGACTTGTCCAGGGCTGTAAACAGCTACTTAGCCTTGTCAGGATGTCCGTTTCCACGAACCATGGAAAACACTTTCCTCTACCCTATTGTAAAACAATGACAACTCAGTCAAGTCGTCACACATGACCTGTAAGGCCATTAAGGCTCTAGGAATGCAGAGCATCCCAAAAAATGTCTATTCCACATGTAACAATTCCACATGCAAGTCATAGAATTCAACAGGAACAGGGCACAATAATATTAGGTATACATTTGAATAGGGAACAAATCATACCGAACAAATCAAGGTCATACATGACTGTTCGCACATAGGAAAGGGGATAAAGCCGTCTCTTCCCTGGGTGATAAAGCTGTCCTGGGTGACAAAAGGTACGCTGTGTTTGGTATCCCTGGGTTCAAAATTTATTTCTGAATATTAATCTGCCAGTTGCTAGAATACCATCTTCACGTATTGGAGAATATTAATATTAGTGTAAAACTGTAGCTGGGAATAGGTCATAAATTTGGTGACCTCCTAGCACCCATCCCTTAAACTGGATTATTGGTCAGTTGTTCTCGGGCGACACCCCTTTGATATCATAGAAAAGGGACTAACCAGATCTAGTATGGAGCTCTTGTTTAACATCAACCAAGGAACATTTTA